GTAATGGCACAATGCAATCAAATGGTGTGAAAGGCACATCCTTGATGAGAAATTAAAACTCAGAAAGCTTAGAGTGAAAACAATAAGGGTAACATGTTCTAATTTGCATTTTTTGTGTATGCTTATACTTGAGATATATGACCTCAATCAAGAGTATTAGCATGTACCAATTTTATCAACAGCCTAGAGCTCTTAATTTGGAAGAGAGGAGAGGTCCCCCTTTGGTTTGGGCCTCTAGGACTGAATCTAAAAGAAGATTTAATGGGTGAAATTTCTCAATTAGGTGTTGTTAAATCTTGTGAAAGTGGTTGAAATATGTGATTCAGTGCATATTTCACTAGAGACTTAGTGATACCCTAGATGTGATTTTATAACGGTGTAGTAGAGCAAGTAAACATATCCAATATAAAAATTGTTATGGTGAGATAAATAACCAAACTTCTCAATCTGAATAACCAACAGAAAAGTCGATATGAATTCAACCCCACTTCTTGGAAACATCTGCTGCCATATAGAATTCAACAATATGAAGTCCTCTGAAATTAAAAAGTCATAAATCGAATACAACCTAGTAACTATTAATCATCAAAGTTTATAGGGCAATATTAGTAGAAAATAAGGCTCTATGTAAAACATTTAATAGGAACTTATATTTAATTCATCAAACTGTTCAGACCTATGAAAAGAATCTACTTAGGAAGTTTATAATTGGGTGCTTAAGGATAAAACATACTCCTATAACAAGGTGTTGAAACCTACACAAAGAAGGAAGAGTTGGAAGGATGGAAAAAATGTAGAATGAATTGTTGGCAACTAAAGTTTTAGCATCAAATAATGAGTTGAATTGCCTTTTCTGTGTTCCATTTTTGATTGACCAATGGTCCTTGACGATGGCTAAAACTTGATCCACATCCACACTTGAAAATTAAACTTGGTAAAATACGAATTAATATTTTTCAGATCAAGCATCATGTTCATCTTTCAAATACCTAACATAGTGAGTCATATAGAGATGATGAATCAAAAAGTGTCAAGAAGCTGCACTTGAACCAAGAAATTAGAAGTACTAAAAGTAAGAAGCTGCACTTGCACCAAGAAAAGAATGTTGACTTGTGGCATAGTTGCAACAGATTGATGTGCCAATCACTTGTGTTAAAAGTTCTTGAGCCAGGAAATTTGTTAAAAGGTTGTAACAAGCTTTATGTGGAGCCTAAGACTTTGATCATTAAAATTTAAATGATGAGATTTGATTAGTTCATGATTTGCTAGGTCAACCTCTATGTCAACCTATGTTGCTTAGATTTTGAAAAAGTCACTTTGTTGATGTGTAAGAAAGTAATCATCTGCTTTGTTTTGATCTTGTAACATGTCAAGGCCTCCGTACAGTTTATCAAACATGCTCTAGCATGTGTGATTTGATTCTAGAAGGTTTGACATGTGAGATCTCTTCAAGAGAATCATATTTTTCTCTCCCCAATTTGATTTTTTTCCTTGCTAAGTTGACTCACAAAATATCTAAAGGTGACCTTCTCTCTTCAATTTGACTCAGTGACAACTTGTGTCAACATCCTTGATATGACTGACTCAAGGTTTGATTCACCGTTTTTCTGAAATGTTTTGATTTTATTTTGATTTTATTTTTATGTTCTATGTATTTTGTTTTGGTTTTTATTTTTTTATGCTAAAAAATATAATCAAACAAAAAATGGTCTGAATATAGAAATTTACATTTTCATATAAGAATAAGTGCAATAAAAAAATATTTGTGATATTTTTTTATTTTCTATTTCTCAATATAGAAGCATATAAACCAAAATAACTTAAGTTTACTATTTTATGAAAATATCAGTTGCACTTTGAAGATTAGCTTCAATTAAATTAAACATTTTAAAGTGCAGATTCAAATATCTAACCTACAATTGATAAAGTCAATAGACAACATCTGATTTAAGTTAAATTATTTTTTTAATATTTCATCTGCAAAATCAAGATTTCAACATAACCAACCCAAATGTTTCCCAAAGAACACATTCCAAATTCATGGCTATATGGGTCCATGAAGATTAGCATTTAGCTAATATACTCTAAGACAGATAGAGTACTAAAAGTACTCTAATACAACTAAAGAACAAGTAAATGTTCCACAAGTTTTGCACATAGCTTCTAGTGCCCAACAAATTCCCAAGTCAAATAATGCCTAAGCATTGATTGATGTGAAGGCATTTTAGAGGTTGAGAGAAAAAATTTGAGTTCATTGAGTGGACTCATTTCTTACAAAATAATGAATAAAAATAATTTCAATTCCAATAAGTAACGGATTTAATTAATCATGATCAAGTGTTAATCTCGACTTTAATTAAATGGTAAAAACATTGAATTTAATTTAGCATCTAATCAAAGATGTTAAAGAACATAAATATTTTAATAACTTACTTTTCATTAACTAATACAACATGCACGTCATTCCATCAAGAACACATAATTGTGGGCATGATTTCTCACCAACGGATTTCAAGAGCTTAAATGATGATTTCATCTTGATTTCATTGAATTTCTTCCGTTGCATACATTGTATTCCTCAGCCAAATATCTATCTAGATTGATTTCTAAACTCGTGGTCGATATCTTCCAAGCCTTCCTCTTTCCCCTCTCTATTTCTCTCCTCTCTTTCTGTACACCGTATAGAGAAGTAAGGAAGCCTCAAGAATCTGCGAAAAGTAATCAGCCGCCGATATTCGATCAAGTAGTTGGCTCGCTTATGAACGTCCTTGTATCCTACCTAAGCATCGAGTATTCTCGACGTCTCTAATTTTGATGGCATTCGTCAAGAAACATTGTTGTTTTCTTAGCTGACTCTTCGTCCGTGGCCGAGGCCATTGTCAGAGAAGGTCATCGGTAGTTCGGGTCGTCGACATCCTCCATTATCAGATAAGCTCCATCAACGCCAGAGAAGGAGAGCCCTTCCGCCCTGCATGGCAGGCCGACAGGCGTCGACGAGGGGCAAACGGGAGGTCACTAAAGCCAGCCGGAGCAACCCCTGATGGCGTACAGAGGGACGGCCAACCTGTCAAGAGCCCGTCCTTGTCCGGGGCAACATAAGCTATGCCACCAACTATGGTGCAAGAAAAGAGGAGAAGATATTTGCTTAAAAGAGAGAATGAAATTGAAGTGGTCTGGTTAGCCCAGATTCTTGATTATCTTTCTTTTTTTTTTTCGATTTCTTTCTCCCTGTTCAGCAGATAAAAGCGGGAAATGGCGGCAAGATAAGAGAGGGCAGAACAAGTCTCGGTGGAGGAGAAAAAAAGCGCTGAAACTCTACCGGCTACAGAAAACAGCGAAGGTGGAAGTCGAAGAGTGAAAGTGGACGAGGGACGATGAAATCCGATGAACACTAGTCGAACAGTTTACTGAAAAGGCAACCCAGGGCGGCTTATGTTCCCAGGAGACGACTCCGCCTGCTTCTCTTCTTCATCTTCTTAACCCCGTTGGCTTCTCTGTTCCTGTCCCCTCTTCACGGAAACTCGAGTTCAGAGAAAGACAAGAGTCATCTACCCAGCGGAGGAACGAAGGGACGAGGTGAGGGCTTACCCACTGTGAAAGTCGGCCGAGTCTGCGCGGTCTTCTCCGTACACCTGGGAGATCTTGCAGACGATCTCTATGTCGAACTTGAGGGAACTGAAGCTATCCCGCCGCGAGAAGCCCGCTGGGCGGGTCACGACCACGTAGATTCGGGCCGCCGCCGCCTCCACCGAATCCACCGGAACGGGACCCCTCTTGGGACCGCAACTCGGAAACAGGCGGACGGGACCTGTTATACAACGAAAACAGGCCCCGTCTTGCGGCCGCATCTCGGAACGGTCTCTTCCAGAGGCGCCCGACGGGGACTTGCCGCTCCATCTCTGGGAACAGTCGGCGCCGCTGATGGGCGACCCTGCGAAAGGCGCCCGCCCCATTTCTCAGCGAAACTTATCGCCACTTTGAACAGCGCGAAGTCGTGGAAGAACGCGTTGCCGGATGACGGGGCTCCTTGTGCTAAAGCAGCATGTAATATCGGTTTCCGCCATCGTCGTCGTTTTCCCAGCGGACCCTCTTTCCAGCGGAACCCATTGCCCTGCAGTCTCCTCTCTGGCCTTCTTGTTCGTGATCTCGTCGAGGCTGGCTACCGCAAGTCCATCGTCCCATCGTGCCGCGCGCGTTCTCTTCTCCCGTGCTCCTTGATCGCACGCTCAGCGAGATTGCGGGATGGACGATGCAGTTCGCTGCCGCATGTCCAATGTACTTGTATCATTATCATTATCCAATGTACAAGTCACATTGAAGGCCATCTCTGGCACAAAGGCCACAGCTTTTTCTTTGAGAAAGGCTATTCCATTGGGCTTGGCATTTCGCTGATAGATGGGCACATCCCATGACTAGTGGAGCATGTGAATTCCTTCTACAGGTCAGAGGATGGGATGAGTTAGAGGGCTTCATGATGTTGCCGATCAAAGATTTTGAATCTTTGGGGATGGACTTCCCTGTATGGGCTTAGATGATCAACTTCTAGCATTGCCACAGCATCTTTGTCGTGGATGGGCGCTACCAAGCTTTGTCCCTGAGATAAAAAGGCATTGACAATCCAAGGGTTGAAGGCGATTGAGAGCTGAGGAGGTGGTTCAACTCCATCCCATGGGTAGATAGGGAGCTGCCCATGTGACAACTGTGTGTACAAGATTGACAAAGGGTAAGGCCACTGAGGAGAGTCGGATATTATCATGACATAAATGGAAGGAGAAGATTGATTTTTACATCACCGAAAGGGTGCTGATTTCCTGAACTAATTAAAAACAGCAGACAAACCGCAGAGCAAAATTTCATATGGAGCGATGATGAATAAAGGAAATATCGGTTCAAGTCAACGCGGCAGTCCATTGAAAAAGGGGCGCATTCTTCATTTATTGTGCATTTCTCTTTCGTACCAGCTGAAGAAGCTAAAATCAGGGATGTTGTAGTGGAGGAGCTCAGCTGATGACCTTGGAGACGACTCCCGCACCAACTGTCCTCCCACCTTCACGCAGCGCAAATCTTTGCCCTGCAGAGTACGAGAGCACGAAGATTATTATGCGTTCAAGCCAGAGGAGCACTGAGGGCAACGATTAAAACAAATCCTCGGCCCATTTCATTCGATGTATGAAATACAATCAATCAACGTGTGCTAAATTCAAAGGACAAGCAATCATACTAAATATGAGCATAAAGATTTAACGTAATATTTCAGCTTCACAAAATATTTCGGTAACAAAATGGCCTCCAAACTTATTCTAGAGAGTAACAGTAGAAAACAAAGTCATTTAATGGACCGACATAATAATAATCGATCCTAAGCAGGATAAATTAGTTTTTAACATTGCAAAACAGATGGTCTTTTGAAGAATTTACCTGCTTCAAGTGGAACAGGTTGTATAAGTTCAAAAATGGCGGTCACATTATCGCCAGGCATAACCATCTTCACATTTTCAGGCAGTTCCACCTTCCCAGTAATATCTGCGGTTCTCATGTAAAACTGAGGCCTGTAGTTAGAGAAGAAAGCTGTGTGGCGGCCACCTTCATCTTTTGTAAGCACATAAATCTCAGCTTCAAATCTTTTATACGTTTTCAAGCTACCAGGCTTACAGACCACCTGCAATCTCAAAGAAGAAAGATGTAAAAGGAAGGCCGAACAGCGGTATATAAATCATTCATTCAAGAATAGAAACGTAGAAAGTAATATGAAAACAATGAAGCACATCGCCAAAATTCATGGCCAGCCATAGCATGGCGATTGAAGGAACTAAGTCTGAGCATTTCGAGAACCAGTCTTTTCTTAGACAATAGGGTACAACAATGGCACACCTGCCCACGTTGCACATCTCCACGTTTTAGACCACGTAGAAGAAGGCCTACATTGTCACCAGCCTACATCAAATAAGATAATTCCAGTTAATGAAGCAATATAATATTGGAAAGCTTAGAAAATAACGATGCTTCTCCAAATCGCGCACATACTTGTCCATGATCCAGAATCTTTTTAAACATCTCCACACCTGTTACAGTAGTCTTAAAGGGACCGCCCTGCAATTGAAAACGAAAAACATGAGCACATGACACAACACCAGTGTCCATGATCTCCTTGGCTACATGAAAAATAAAACTTTTAAACAAATGAGTGTACAGACATTTACATTTCAGTAATCTCAGATTGGCAAAACGTGGACATTGAAGCTACCAGAAAAAGATCATGAACGTTACAAACAGATCCGTTACTCATACCTGGGTCAATCCTAAGATCTCAACATCTTCTCCAACTTTGATGGTACCTTGTTCAACTCGACCAGTTACCACAGTTCCACGTCCCTGTAAAGCGGCAAGAAAACTATCCGGAATAACATATCTATGGTATGGTAATATACTCATAACTAAAGGGCCTCCAGCAAAGGATGGAAACAGATTTTCTGAATATCAAATTGGATTATCAATAAATATTCTAGTAAATGGAAGAAGACTCAACCATGATTCTCGCAATCATTACCTTTGAAAGAACAAGTGATAAATCACCAAAAATCCATTCCAGATGAAAAAAATGTTTAAAATGTTTTTCCCCCAATTTATTTTTCAATTTTGCATTGCGTAGGCTTGATTTTTTCTCTCAGTACTTTTCTTGACCCTTTAATCAGCCATTATGTCCATTTAAAATTTCCATTGGCATGGTAAGAGATAATAGCATTCTTCTAATATTCTCCACCTTATACCTTCTCCTGAAACTTTCAGCCTGTCTAATGCCAGTGGTGATTTTCCAGTAATCTCACCTTGCAGATACCACCCATTCTTGTCTGGCCACTAACATTCAGTTCGTTTGCCAAGCCACTGTTGGGCGACAGGAGCTCTCCTTCCTCGACTAGGAACATCCGTCGGGCTCCCCCACTGTTCCTTCTTCTGTGAGGAATGAGGTATTTTCCTCTGTATGCTTCTTTGTTTCTCACCTGCCATCATCTAGGACAATGGTGACCAAAAGTTCCAGCAGTAATTTGTGCACTGATCAACGGTCTTTCCTGGTCCAGCATGCTGCTAGCTCAGTCATCCGTTGCTATTCCACGTACACAGCAGTCCTTCAACCTCCTTGAATTGATCCAGTATCTAAGTGGTGAGGCTTCCTGAATTGGGCAACGACGTTCTTCATTCTCAGATGACAAAACTCCCATGCACAGCCTAGCTCTGAAGCTTCCCCGCTTTGACCTACCCCCCCCCTGTTCGGCAAAGCATTGTGGCAGGTGGGGCTTCATCCTTTGGTTTCATCATTGCAAACGTCCTCATCATCCTAGTTAGTAGGCAACATCCTACCTAAACAACTCTCAACTGGGTAAAATATCTTCAACGTGGAATGAGAACTCTCATCTCATGATTGAAAACCAGCCTTGATTGGGATTTCTTAATACAATGTTAGTTGACCCCAGCCAATTCAACTACCTTCCAATTTGATTCTGCAGATCATGCTCTTCATTCCCCAACAATGTGATGATAGTACAAGTCTCATTCCATACTGATGCGAGTGTTCCATCTACCAATCTGCCACTACATTCCACGAACTTGATACCACAAACACAGGATGATCCAGAAACATCAAGATGGACAGAACTAAAAGAATTTATTTTACTTGAAATCTCATGCAAATGAAAGTTTATTAAATAAATCAATTGAAATCTGACACGTGCTTTTGTCTCCATCAATGCACTTCAGGAACCAACAACTTTGAGTGGGATGGTGTTTTCCTAAGAAGTTCAAGCTATTTGCAATATAGTTATCACCCTACATGAAATGTCAGACGATGAACTTTTAGTTTTTGGCGGATATCTCCACCCTTTTAAAGATACTAGTAATGCAGATACCTTTAACAACCTAAACACAGTATCATGTAAATATGGAGTTGCCTGAACTGAGAGAATATATTCATGTGTCCAAAATTCATGCCTTGTCGAAGCACTAGCAAAGCAGACGGCTACTTAACAAAGTTAACCCGGAAGACATGTTAAAAAGTAATCACCTGAATTGAGAAAACATCTTCAATTGGCATAAGGAAGGGTTTGTCAAGCACACGAACGGGGTCTGGAATGTACGAATCCACAGCGTCCATCAGTTTCAGTATCGCCTTCTTCCCTATTTCCTCATTGGTACCCTCTAGTGCAGACAAAGCTGAACCTCTGATAATCGGAATTTCATCACCAGGGAACTTGTAGAAGCTAAGCAACTCTGCAACAAAATATGAAATCAGTCTTCCGCAGTGACAATAGAATCTAGTAGCCCTTGGACAGTGTCGTCACCAACATACCACGAAGTTCCATCTCAACAAGCTCTAGTAACTCGGGATCATCAACAGCATCAACCTTATTCAGAAAGCAGACAAGTGACGGCACTCCAACCTGAGAAAGAAAATAATATTAGAGAGGGATGTTCATCCTCAGGGATCAAACACGAGGATGCATTTGCCAAAAATTCAGCACTCGTGGAGATTAGTCACCTGGCGAGCAAGCAAAATGTGCTCTTTTGTTTGAGGCATGGGTCCATCAGGTGCTGATACAACAAGGATGCCACCGTCCATTTGGGCAGCACCAGTAATCATGTTCTGCAGCCACATAAAGCATTCACGATGTAAGAGATTTAGGACCATCCAACAAAAATACATCAAGCAGCCGGAAAAATTATAACTGATAAATGTAAAATAAAAGGAAAATGCTTCAATCCTTTTGAGGAACAGCAAACTGTGAGACGTTTGCATCTCTCGTGAGATACTTTCATTCCAACTTATGTACAAAAGAATAAAATATTCAGTTGGCTCACCCAACCAACTCAACAATGCAAAAAATATGGGCTAGACCATATCAGAGTGAAGCATCCAATCACACTCGTTTTGACTGGTGCATATCGAATATTCTTACTATTTGATGTTTAACATCCCAATCAACAGAAGTAGATTCTTCAATAGGCTCATAAAAAAAATTCAAAAGTACTTAATATCCTTTATCATTTATTCTCTTTGTGTGCATAAGGTGGCTAATGGCGGGTTGGTGGGAGAGGGCTAGGGTTTAAAGCAAGGGTCCAGGTTACTCAGTTACTCAGTTACCAAGAGTTGGTACCCGGAAGGGAGAGGGGTTGGCAGTCAATCAGGGTTGCAAGGTCCAGGATATTCAACAACTCAATTAACAAGGGTTGGTACTTGAAAGGGAGAAGGGCGGGATAAATTGCAGGGGTTTAGGTCACACATTCTCCCAATCACATTGGAACCTATTTCAACAAACTTAGTTCCAATAAGAAATATCACCCTAAATTGACTATGAAACCTCCCAACATCTCATTTACAACCCCAATATCATAAAGAGACCTAATTGCTTATCAAGAAAGGACATTGACACTGGTGAAGTTCTACACTCAAAGGATGCACATGGCTGGACTTAGTGAAGAATGTAATAGGGATTTCTTCTGCTGATTTTAGTAGGTCAGTAAGTCCAGGTCTATTTTTGACTAGTTTGGCCGTTCTTGGAGTATCTAAGTTTAATTAAAGACCCTAGGCTATTCCAACCGATTTCACTGATTTATCCCAAAACTAGGAGGCTGAAATTGATGTAAAAAGAAAGAAAAAAACTATCTTTTAAATGAAAATTTTCGCCTAGCTCTTTCTGCAAGAGGGTCGTGAATCAGGGCCTCAATGCACTAAGCTGAGGGCTAATTCGTCCACTTTTATCATTAGCGTCCTCTAGGCTGTGGGGTCTCTACATCTCCAACAGGAATAGAGTTGGTGGGCAGTTTGCTCCAAGATTGCCAGCTACAAGTCTCTACCCACAGGTTCAAAGTATAATCATGTCAATCCTTTTATGAACCTCTCATCTAATTCGCTATCAAACATCTTTTTAATTTCTGGTTACGATTGTCTCTAAGTCCTCTCCAGTCCTACCTACCTTCCTATCCACTTACCTAGTTGACCCATAACACAACACAAACAACCACCCAAATCAGAGTAATTTTCCATGCTTCCCAGGATGCAAATTCGGTTTTGAAAACAAGGCACCCTGCCAAGTGAACCTAACTACGAACATAACCCTACTATGACCACTCAAACATTTATCCCTGTTAGATGAGAAATGTTGGTTTTACCATCCAGTGGTCACCAATAAACCGGGTTTGGCAAAATGAAAACTTCTCATACACAGCGAACAGGACAACGCACTGGTAGGAGGATCCATAATCATGGAAGACGTGTAGAGTCCATTACAGAATAGCCTCAAAGGGGGATTTTCTGATGGTTTTTTTCTTCTATCATCAGGCCGTTCATAAAGGGGATATCAAGTTTTTAGATGTTATCTCTTGGGAAAATAAACCACCCTCCAAATAGGGCCTTACTAGTCCAACAAGGAACTACACTAATCAATGGCTGAGACGCCAACAACTCTTGACATGCAATGCAAGCTGTAGCAGAATGAGCACTCTCGGTAACCCAATGTAAAAAACGTTTTGAATGTTTGATATTATAAATGAAAACAAATAGATATCGTTCTCAAGAGGCACAATTATAGTCCAGCTGCACAATTTCAGTGCATGATGTTACACATCTGTTTGTCTTTCTGTTCTCTGGAATTCAGAACAATGACGTTCAGTTTGTTAGTAGTAAATAGTTTTACTGCATTGAAATCTTCTCAGGACTGTTTGTAGCATTTCGATAATGGTATAATTGCATTTTTCAGAAAATCCAAGAACAAGAAATGTTTATCACACCAATCTTCTGAAAAAATGAACGCCAAAAATTAAACCATAAGTAGAATTACGTTTAAAAGAATAATCATCCCATTATAATTCCGTTCTGTCCAGGTTAAATTGTTTGAGCCTTAAATTCATTGAGGGTAGCTGATAATGTTGGAACAATAGAAAAGCATTTCAGTTAACTCAATAAGCAGCAGAGAAGCATTGTTTAATAACCTGTGCTAAGCGCATGAGTGATAAAGCTTGTTTTGTGGGTTATTACAGGCTTTACAGAGATCTCAAGGCACTGATTCAGACTCAGAGATACCACGAAAGTGTGACAATAATTTGGCGTACTTACTTTCCCCAAGATCATTAACGCCTGACATTTGTCCAGAACAGGAATAATGAGCAACTTACTTTCACATAATCCGCATGTCCTGGACAGTCCACGTGAGCATAGTGGCGTTTTGCGGTTTCGTACTCCACATGCGCCTATAAAATAATATTTTAATTATGGACATAATGGGTAGCATACGAAAGAATTTTTTCATACCAAATGTGAAGACTAACTTACAGTGGCAATGGTAATTCCTCGAGCTTTCTCCTCAGGGGCTTTATCAATCTCATCAAATGCCACTGCCTTTGCTTTACCTTCTTCAGCCAAAACCTGGAGAATAGTGTCATGAAATGAAACTCAGGAACTGTTAAGCAAAATCAGAAGGCAAGGATCATGATGTAGAATGGCCCCTCATGCAAAGGCGAAAAGTAAGAAAAAGTAAAGAAACTACGACCATCAGAAATAGTCAAACCTTTGTGATCGCAGCCGTCAATGTTGTCTTCCCGTGATCGACATGTCCAATCGTCCCGACATTTACATGAGGCTTACTGCAGACGTAATCAAACAACATAGAAGATCAATGTCAAATAAGACGAAGGTCAGCACTACGCCTCTACACTCTCTACGAGCCGATGGACGCAATGCGGCAGGTAAGCACATCTTTCGGACGGAAAAAGGAGATCGGAAGACGTGAAAAGGAAAGAGGATCACTCCGAGTATCCCCATGGTGAAATCCCATCCCGAGCTACGCAAAAAACTCATCAAGCTCATTAGTCCCTATTAACTGCTGAATCATCGGGACAATAAAATATCGCCTGAACAAACCCTCCCACTTACGTCCTCGTGAAAGTAGCCATGGACCGGGACAAGAACCCCGCTGCCGCCTCGAGATCCCTCCCATTGAAGCCGGTTGACGCACCGTCGATCCCCGGGAGTCCCGCAGTCGATTTAACCGCCCCACGGCAGCAGAGGTGGTAGGAGGAGGAGGCGGACGAGAAGCCAAGCAGACGCCTGGAGCTTGGATTCCTCAGCACGGCCGCAGCAGCCATCTTCTCTCACAGTCCCCCTCCTTCCTGTCCCCTTAGGAACTTCCCGCTAAAACCCTACCCAAGTAGCGATCTCTCGGACAAGGAGAGATGAACCGGAGAGTTCAAAAGAGCTTTCGGGTCCAGCCCAAAAATGAAAAAAGCCCATCTCTCCCTTCGTGTGAGCTCTGGGCCTTTTCCTGGCCCTTTTTCACTCGGACCAGCTAATCTTATCCTTGGATTTTTCATCACATTTGGAAATGAAAATATATTAAAATTATCTCATATAAATTTTAATTTCTTGTCTCGTTAAATAAATTAAAGAGTTTTAGCTGTTCAAGTAATTAATAAGAAATACCCTCTAGAGAAATGGTATTAATAATTAATTATAAGTATTTCCATGGACCCTATGAATTCTATGGATTTTTCTGGAAACCTCAAATTTTCCTTAATTTAGTCTCTTCTGCATTCACAACTCCCTTGGGTGATTAAGATAAAGGTCAATTAAAAGAATGTGCCACATGAAAATAAAGAAGTATATCATTGATGGAATTTCTATAAGAAGATATAGAGTAAACTAGTTGAAATTCAATAAAGAAGACAAATGACTTGGTCTTGAATTTCCACTTGTTCCTCTCTTCTGAAAGCTCTTAAATGAATGAAGATTGTGTCATTCAAATCTGATTAAGGAAAACGTCTTGAATTATCTTGAGCTTAGTGTCTTCACATCCTTGTAGCAACCTTCAGTTTTCTCTTCAAGCTCATGATGAATTTCTCCACAAATTGATTAGAACATATTGCTAATGCAGGGCAAAGAGTTACAAATATTCTTGAACAATTTAGTAATCGTAAAGGGCATAAATTTTATAAAGCAAACCTTAAAAAACTATTCCTCTATTTTTTATTGTTCTAACATTATTATTTCCATAGATAGATATAAATTACAATGGTGGGAACTCAATGCAATACATTCTTCAATAATTCATTTATCCTCCAAGGAAAAACCAAAAATTTAGTCATTTAGTTATCTATTATGGTGTGTCTAATAAGAACTAATTGTTTCTAACACACAAATATAAATCTATCTCAAAATAAAGTGATGATTTTTAAATAAAATTAAATCTGAAGCCTTTAAAATAAAATTATGTAGACATATTGACGTGACTCAGTCATTGTATAGTAAATCACGTAAATTTAAAATTTATAAAACTAGAAAATATGAATTTTTGAATATTTAGAAATATTTCTGAACAAATATATCAAGTATAATTCAATAAAACTTCTAAAAATAGTAGTAATTTTCTAGGTCAATCACAAGGATGTAATATAATATCTAGTAACTATTCAGAATTTTCCTCAAAGAATATTATTTTCTATGAATTTTATACTAAGAAATGAAAAGGAAATATATTTAAAATTCATGAAAAAAGGAAATAAGGGTGCGTACATCAGGATGACGTTAGTGTCCGGCGAATGTGAATCGGGTGGAAACAGAGTTCTGCCTGATGATTCTTACGTAGGTGATTATAGACGATTTAATTGATCAAATTAAGATCTGTAAAAGCCGAAAGAATCGTAATGAAATAAAGTGTATCTTGGTAAATTTAAAATCAATAAATTATCACTAAATGAAACGGAAATTAAGTTGAAAGTAGGAAAATAGAGTTTCAGCGTCAAGGTGGCGATGCGTCGGTGATGCATCAGAATCCTAAGCGTTCGGGAGGATCGTCGTGTAGTGTCCACGGCCTCGAAGGCTCTTCTTGGACAAAGATGACGTGGGCAATCTCTAGATCTCCTTGCAAAGTCTAGAGATCAATAAAATGGGTCATCGAATCATCTCCAGCAGTTGTCATCCGGCGGAGTGGAAAAACGGTAACTTTTTGGCTTTCTGACAGCTGTCACCCGACGGAGAGGAGCTAGATGGAGGTGGGGTGCGTGTTAGAGAGCTTCATCCTCAGGGCCGCGCAACAAGAGGAGGCTCTTCATCGTATGTGGTATGCTCTCAGGAGGTGGTGACTCGTCTACTAGTGGATCGTCCTCTTCCCGACGATGGTTTGTTCGTCGATCAATCGGAGATGCTTTACTTAATGGATTCGCGATCCTTTTATCGCGAATCGTTTAGTAATTTTAGTAACAATGCTCCGCGAATCGCGTTGACGAGATTTTTGCCGATGATCTAGCGATTCTGGTTGCTTAATCCTTCACCGACGATTTGCAGGAAAGTTGCGATAATTAGATAAAAATATGAATTTTGGCTCTCAGAGGATTCGAACCTGCGCCGGTTGCCCCCCGCCCTTTTTGGGGAGGTGTGACACAGGTTTAGTCCCACAGTGGTTGTGTGCCGAAATTTCTCCTGAATTTATAGTAATATTACATTTTCGATTAAGTCCTTTTATCGCGCATGTACGACCACTCCTTGCCCCACAGTCGGCTGGCCATTAGTGACGTGGAAGGGGAGTGGCGCACACGTGCCCCCATTGGTTCAAACCGCTCAAGCCCCTGCTCGCGGCTACTCTCTAACTACGCCTCCAACCCACTTGCGGGCCCAGTTGGCCGGCGGGTCCCCCCATTTTGCTATATTTTTATTTTAATTTCTTTTCCTTCATTTATCTCAAAAGTAAGACTATAAAAATCGTATAAAAACACATAATTACCTAAAAATTCACATTAATCAACTGAAAACCACTTTTCACACTTTAACACAAATATAAGTCTATTTATCATGAGTTAAGGCTAAAACTATATTATTTACTAATTATTAACTCATGATAATGAAGACTTATCACATATTAATCATCTTATCAGTATTTGGAATCATTACTTTAGTGGTTTATGATACCTAAAAAATAGTTTTTGATTAATTTTCAAGAATATTCATAAAGTTCTGAATAAGCATTTAAAAAATTTAGATTCAATTAAATAGTTATCTTTTAAAAAACCATCAAAACTAGTACTTTGAAATCATGGACATCTAGTAGACTAATTAAACTTTTTTTTATGAGAATTGCTCTAAGGAGATTCAAAGTAACTAGTAGATATGTACATCCTCAAGCACACAAAGATGGTCTTGTGGACATTGACATGTTAATGGGCATCTATCCATGCGAGGACAGGTTTGGAGATGATTGCCTATGGATTTCGTAGAGGTAGATAATCATGGACTACATGGGGATATTAAAGAAGTGTTGTAGAATGAACAAGTGATGTAAGTGTGATAACATGCTATTTATGCATGTAATTATATAATTATTAATGCAAATTAAGGCATTAATCATTACAAATATATGCATGTTATCATATTTTAAGTATATTTCTATCATTTTCTGTAAATTCATGTTATGATCTTAAAATACACCAAATTATGGATTATTATAAATAATTACACATTACAATCTTTAATCCTAATTATATTTATGATCATAATCATGTTTTAAGAGTGAAAATATGAGAGAGAAGATATTTATTAACATTTATGTAGTTATATAAATTTATTTTATATAATACATAAATGTATAAAATTAATTAAAATTTATTCTCTTCTTATTTTAATAATTTGACCTTTTATAATGATAGATTATTCAATTTTGAATCCAACAAAACAAATTTGAATTAATTTGGAGTCGTATTTTGAAAGTTATGATTTTTACAATTTTATAGAAATTTCTAGAATTTTTCTGAATTTATTTATATTTATTTTCGATTTTTAAATGTTTTAAATTAATTAAAAAATCGCAAAAAGGGGTTATATGTCGCGCGTGTACACGTGGATGCGACGTGGTACTCGGGGCCACGTGGCTCTGCCACGTGGACAGCACACGGGCGCCTGCGCGGCGCTGATGTGACACGTGGCGTATTTATATTTACTCTATATATTTATTTAATAAAGTATATAGGTCTTCCAATTATCAGAAGACAAAGTATTAGTCCCTCTTAATCGTCATATCTTATATACCCGAATATGCTCCTTTGTTTTTCCCGTGTGGGACTAAAGTCAGTTTTCTTATTTGCAGGACGCGTGGCGTGATCTCGTGCGTCCGATCGACATCGCGACAAATAGCGTGCGTAGATCACGTGGAATCGAGGTCCACGCGATCGAAGATCAACCACATGCCTAAATACTCACTTAAGTGAATAAATCGCGACCGTCTGATCGAGAGTTATAACGGTCCAGATTATTCACATCAGATGGACATCCAATCACATCTTAACCGCACGATCACAATCGGACGATCGTCGAATCGTCGCGACGATTCGTGAAGAGGCGTCTCATCGCGATCGTCCATCGCGTTCAACTCCATCAGATCGGACGCCCACGATCATTTCCGAATTTTATAAAATCCGTTCTTCGCGACAGAAGAACGGCCCGCGATCAATCTTCAAATTCTCTTTGTTTAGAGCTCCAATTTGCGCGCCATCTTTTGCATTGTGTTCGCAACTCATTTACGCTTCTGTTGGATGTTTAATTTCAATTTTTGATTGAAAGAATTAGAAGAAATCAAGTCTTGAACTCCTCTTTCGTCTTCGAAAATTCGGAATGAAAAGCCTTGCATCCGGCGATTAATTGGATCATTTCGAAGGATAATTTGGGTTAGATTGTTTGTTTTCATCTTAATCTTTCATCATTTAGTGTTAATTTTACTTTAAGTATTGTAGATTAAGTTTAATTTAGTTTTAATTTCTGTTTTTAATCATTTCGCGATACGAAAATTTCTCTTAACTTCAAACTTCGATTACTCTTCGAATTCTCATCCAAATCACCTGATTTTTGATTCCGTGGATTCAAAACTGAGTTATCTTTCTTAATATACTAAACTGCCCAATTTCTAACCTAATTTCATCGTCCGATTTGACCGAATTTCAAAGATATCTCTCAAATTTCCCTAATTCTTCGTGGATTCGACCCTTAATTACCATTATACTAATTAATTACTTTGATTAATCATAAATTGGTAAGATTAAGAATTTGTTTTGACACTGAATCGTGTGCATTCAACGACCATACAATTTAGTCTCGTCAGTAAGTC